TGTCCTCATTGTTTCTAGATGTTGCCCCAAACCCTGAATTTCTTCACTTTAAACATCTGCTGCTCCTGGTAACACAGTCATTTTGTAAATTTCACAATTTAGTAATTTTTTGTTTGAGTTGAAATCTCTTGGCAGCTCTTTTCTGGGAGGTGGAAAATGCTGAAGCAGTTCCCAGTGATACAGTGCCCTAGTGTGGGAACGTCAGTATGAAGGATCTGTGACTTGCATGTAATTGATCCCTTGGATTGACAGTTGCTTTGAAGCAGAACTCTGTCTTCCTCTCTCTGCATGTCATGTGGAATGAGATTCTGACCTGTGACTTCTTCCCTGCACTTTTACTAATGATGAGCTGTGGAAGTCTATTATTAATGGTGGCAAGTGAACCTCCGATGAGTATATCAATGTAAAAATGTTCCACAGTTGTCCTGATAAAAGCACTTTCTATATAATCATGACAGCTCTGGCATGCACAGGGAAGAAGGGAGAGATGTGGTCCCTGATTTCTGGATGTGATGGCACAGACCTGGTGGGCAGAAACTGGTGGGGGGATGTCATAGCCATGAGCACTGCTCAGTTAATTTTGGGATGATTTTGGAAGGCACAGCAAGACACTGTCACAGACTCTTTCATGAGTAGCCTCACCTCATGTCACACTGCATTTACTAAAGAGAAGAATGAAAAAGCAGGGAAAACACAGTAGCAGGGAACTGCTGGCATGCAGCAATTTGTGCAGGTAGTGCAGATTGCCAGAAACTTTCAAGGATCCAGTCGTGTGGCACTTCAAGAATGTTTGAATTCTACCTCCTCCCTTGCCCAAGCTGCAGGCAGTGCAGCAGAAGAGGACCTCTTTGACTTGGTGAGGTTAGATTTCTGTGAATCAGTTTGGTTGCACAATCCATAGTTCCTGGGAAGGGTTGAGAATGTGCACCTGAGGAAGGAGGGAGAGGTGGAGTTGCAGCAGTCTGTGATGGGATCAGCTCTGGCTGCAGAGGAACCACACCCTGACTGGACCAGCACATTTGTTGATATCTATATATATGAACCTAGCCATGTTTGTTGGTTGGAAGCTGTGTTTGAGGAGGAAGAGGACTTGTTCTCAAAAAGTTTGGGCCAGTCAGGACTAGATAACTTACAGAAAAATACAGCCATAATGACTTGGGCCAGAAAAGCCTGTGCTTTAATACTGACTGCCACCAGCCACCAGTGGGGCTTCGGGAAATTCCACAGCTGCTCTGTGCCTCAGTTTACTCCTCTTTCAGTGAGGTTAGGGCCATTCTGGTCTGCCAAGGTGATGGAAGGTTTCTCACAGAGAGCACTAGAATTTTTGTTGATTGCAAATCAAAGGCTGTAAAAACCCTGGACAGAAGGCAGCACTGGCCTGCACAGGCGTACGAGAGACACACGGGCAAGTTCAAGCTGGAATTTTCTTCCTCTCCTAGATTTTTTGCCATAGTTATCCACAAGTTCCTGATGATGATGATTAAAGAGTGCGGAGGTAAAAAGATGCTCCTCAGGCGGTTTGAAAACGCTCACTTCACCATCAGCACTGGTCCCTGCTGCTGCTGTTGCCTTTGCCTCCCTCGTGTGCCCATCACTAGGTGAGTTGCCCTTTAAGATTTCCCAGCTTGAAAACGGCTGCTGGAATTCAGCCCACTTGGCAAGGCCAGGCTTACAGCAAAGGGCCTCCCTGCTTCCCGAAAGTCAGTCTCAAGCTCTTTTAAACAGCAGCATCACTTTGGGGCTACACACCACCACTAATTTATTTCATTTCTACAATGCAGAGGTGTGTAGGAGGAGGAATTTCTACTCTAGGAAACCTAATAATTGAAACTTCAGTTTTCTTTCATTCCAAAACGGAATAAATGTCTTCAAATTGTTTTCTTTTTCACAAGCAGAATTGTCAAATTGAGGCAAATCTTTATAGAAGATTTTTCTTGCTTTGATAGAACGGAAATGTTTCATTCAGCTTTTGACTTTAAAACTACTTCAGATTAAAATAAATTTTAGAACAAAAAGTAGGTGTAATTCCTGGAAAGCTTGGATCTCAATGAGATGGCATCGTCTGGTGAGGCAAAAAGAAAATGTTACACACCCCTCCACAGCCTGGAAGCCTCATGGCAAAGGAAAAGCCCAAGGGTTTCCTGCTGGCACAGAGTATGAGAGGGCATCGTCTGGTGAGGCAAAAAGAAAATGTTACACATCCCTCCACAGCCTGGAAGCCTCACGGCAAAGGAAAAGCCCAAGGCTTTCCTGCTGGCACAGAGTATGAGACTGTTTCTCTCATTATAAGCAAAATCTGAAGGACTGAATGTGCAAGACAGAGACTTTTCTATGAGGGCCTGAACATTAGTGTCAGAGGGACCTTGGGGACTTGGTGAGGCAAAAAGAAAATGTTACACATCCCTCCACAGCCTGGAAGCCTCACGGCAAAGGAAAAGCCCAAGGCTTTCCTGCTGGCACAGAGTATGAGACTGTTTCTCTCATTATAAGCAAAATCTGAAGGACTGAATGTGCAAGACAGAGACTTTTCTATGAGGGCCTGAACATTAGTGTCAGAGGGACCTTGGGGACTTTATGATCTGGTTAAAGGAAAGTGTCAAACAGAATGCAGTGTAGTGGCTTCAGATTTGTTTTAAGAAATCACATTTTTTATTGTAATAATTCTTTCTTAAACTGCCTCACTTGGTATTAGAATTTAAACTCGTTTTTCCATCGTTTTATTTTAACGGAGTAATACTAAATATTTACATGCAAGGGGAACCAAGAAGAAGTAGGAAACCAAGTGAAAAATGTACCTTTGATTTTCTTCCTGTGTCTGTCACCCTCTGTATGGCTGTAGTAACTGGGAGTTAAGAGAGGATCCTCTCCTATGCCCTGCTGTTGGTCAGCCCAGTGACAGCTTATGCAGGATGATGTTAGCTAGCATGAACTCTTTGCAGTCTCTAGATAGTGCCTACTACTGCTGGGAGGAAGAGCAGCTGTCTGTTTATCAGAAAGGCTTTTTGCTCTGCAGAGAGCTTAGGCCTCCTTCTCTGGTGTCGGTAGTACTGGCAAACCCATTTGCTCTCTGCTTCTAACCTCTAGCCTTTTCCCATTTCAGGGTACTTTTATTTTAAAAATATGAGCAAGCTATACCACAGAAAGGTCAGTCTTATGTTCCTCCCACAGGTATCTTATGGGGAAACAGTTTGCTAATCTCAGGGAGGGATTTATTCTTCTAAAAAACATAGACCTTCAAGCAGTCCTGGGAAAAATAACAAGGTACAGATGAGGCAAAGTAACAAGCCATGCAGTGGGGAGAGATGTGGTAGAAGGAATCTGATGGTCAAGCAAGATAGACCCGTGTTGAGAAGAGAAACAACTCATGGTGTTGCAGTGACTGCACTGTTTGTCATATTTCTTAAAGCCCTTGGGGAAGAGTAAATCTTTGAAAAGGCACACACTAAGTGGCTGACAGCTGCAGGGCTTTCCACATGTGTTTGTGCTGTTCATAATCCTGTGGTTGTTAGCTATATTCATTGAGCAACTCCTATATTTCCTGGTTCATGACTATATCCTGTAGCATACTAAATGCAGCCTGTTGTCTGCTGAGGTATCTCTGATGGCAGTTGCAAGGGCCCGAGGAGCTACAGTGAGGAAAACATTGACAATATGGGAAATAATATACAGGAACAGACTAAAACATGAGGCAGCTGTAGCAGCTGTGGCTTGTCCTGTGAAGACTGAAGGAGAGTTCAGGTTAGTCAGCTTTCATGCCCTCTGTTAGAAAGGTCATCTGCCCCTTTCACAGAATCATAGGATCATCAGGGTTGGAAGAGACCTTTAAGATCATCAAATCCAACCATCCACCTAGCACTACTGCTGTAACCCCTAAACCACTAAACCATATCACCCAGTGCCTGATTCAGACACCTCTTAAAAATCACCAAGGATGGTGATTCCACCATTTCCCTGGGCGACTTATCCCAATGCCTGAGCACCCTAACAGTGAACATGTTTTTCTAATACCTAATCTGAATCTCCTCTGTCTCAGCTTAAAGCCATTTCTTCTAGTCCTCTCACTGCAGGCCTGGCAGGAGAGACCAACCCCCACCTCTCTACAACCCCTTTTGGGAGGCTGTGGAGCGCAATGAGGTCACCCCTGAGCTGCCTCTTCTCAAGGCTAGATAAACCCAATTCCATCAGCTGTTCCTCATATGACATGTTCTAGGCCTTTTATGAGCCTTGTTGCCCTTCACTGGACTCGTTCCAGTGCCTTGATGTCCTTTTTAAAATGAGGGGTCCAAAACTCATCACAGTTTTCTGGTGGCCTGTAGTACTGGTTGACCAGGTTACTGTGCACAGGCTGTGATCTGGACCCAGTTTGTACAGGCAGAAGTGAGGAAACCCTGAGCTGTCCTGCTGGCCTTGTGCAGTTTGTCAAGTGAAAGAGAGTTCCTTTCTTCTGTTAGACTGCAGAGGAGAAAAACCAGATGCTTTTATGGCACTATTCATGATGCATTGAAAAACTACCAGTCCTTTCACCTCTGTCTGTATGATTCCCTTTCTTGATCTACCACAGGACCAGGAAGTGTCTGAACAGGAATGCTGATTTGCCCAATTTCATCAGACAACTGAAAGAGTAACGCAGCAAGGCAAGAGCAAATGGCATTATTGTTCAGAAACTGGTTATGCTGCTACTGGCTCTGTGGTTAGCTTCAGGGCAGAACACTTTCCCCAGCTTTGGTTAGTATGTAATTGCTGCAGAGCAGGAAAAGTACTATTTTTGTAGAGACTTTATTAAATAAACACTGGGCAATTCTTGGAAATATTTTCTAATCTTGAAGCTGTTCCTCCCCAAGATTTTAGCCACATGCTACAGGAGTGGAAAAGTTTTGCAGCTGACAGTGTCCAAAAAATGTTATTAAGTTTGCTAATAAGATCTTGGCCTATCTGAATTTTTTTATCATTATTTTTTGGCCAGGAGAACCCTCTTTTGGCTGAAGCTTGGCACCTTTCAGTTTGCTGTCTTACGACCCGTGCTTATATTTTTATCAATAGTGCTTTGGACTAATGGGAATTACGTCCTTTACAATGTAAGTAAATATTTTAATCAGAGATGAACCACAAAACCATAAGTTTTAGGGCTGATGTTACTATCTTAGCCTTCAACTAAACTGTGAAATCTGGGAGCACTTTCAAGTGAGTCATTACTGTATTCTTTTGAGTCCCTGAAGCTCATAATTTCTGTCTTCCCCTAGACTCACCATTTCCTGGCTTCTCTAGGAAAGAAACTGGGCATTAGGGTGTGTTGGGCATCAGATTATGCTCCAATACATTCCCTAGCTTGTATGGTTAGAATAGCAGGACTTCAAGTTGCCCTGTGGGATGTACCTGCCCTGTGTTTTATAAGGTACAGCTTTAATAAACAAGTGTATGTACTGGCATGTAAACAGGAACCCTAATTCTAAGTTTTTTTTTAAATCATGGTGATTTTTGTATCTGTGCAAAGTAGAAAAGATAGTACTGTACCTCTGCTTTGTACCATGAAATCTGCAAGATGATGGAGAAGTCTGTATCTGATAGCAATTTTGCACTTCTTGGATAACTCAGATTAAAAGTAATACTGGGGTTTTTTTTGGTGTGGTTTCATGGTAGTAAATAAATGATCCTTCAAAGATGTCATGCTGAATATGCTCTCATGAGCTGCTGAGCATTGCCAGGTGCGGCTGGGGTCAGATTTTGGGGTTGTGTCACTTGGTACCTTCCAGGCTGAACAGATTTCTGTGGTGGTGCCTCCTTGATGGGACCATGTGCTAATGGTCCAGCTAGTACTGTGCAGTTTCCCCATACAAAACCCAGCAACTGCTGCTGCCACCAGCTTTCATGGGGATAGAAACAAGGGTTTTAACGTCTGTATCATTCGGTTCACACCTTCCCCCTGGAAACAGTAATATGCAAAGTAAGGGTCTGCTTGATTTGCTTCTCAGTTATCTCCCAAAGGACCTGCGATATGGATTAGCTGCTTCATTGGTGTTCTCACCCTTATTGCTCTGTGGGCAGTTGGAATCATGTTTCGAAAAGTTAGGATTCTCCTTGCCTGTAAGAAGATTATCCCAAAGTTTGCTCTTTATCAGGTGAGAAGTTTAATGTTTCTGGTAAGAATTTATCTTAACTGCTAATACAACACTGTCTCTCTAGCTCTTGGTCCTTGATTCAAAAGTTACAGTAGTTTTTCCCCATTAAATACTCTGTGCAAAGATGTATTTTTACCTGATTAAAGCTGCATCCCTTTGAAGCACTCTCCTTGGCTGCTGTTCAGTTTCATCTTGAGCCAATTTACCTCTGGTCTCTCAGGAGTGCTGAAGATGTGAAAGCCACGTAAAATCCATTTATCTTTAAGCCACTGAAATCAAAACAGCACCTTCTGTGGGGCTTGAAGGAAGCTTTGTAGATATGGCATCCTGAACTGCCACGTTAAAATGCTGGTGTGTGCTCCTGAAACGTGGGAGAGGATGTATTGCGTTGTGTGGGTGGCTGTTGTTTGAACTGTTTCAGCATGCCACAATATTCTGTTTTGATGGTATTTTTGTTGGCCATTCTGCACTTCAGAGTTAGATGGTAATGAAAATACTGGCTGAGAAACATTAAATAGTAAGGAACAGAACCAGATAGGTTAGCTTGAAAAAGCCCAGGGACGGGGCCACCCTCTCCACATCACCCTGAAAAGAGTACAGCAGAATCCTTGGATATGCATCCTCTTCAACAGGACATAGAGAGAGGCTGGTGCACTAAGGTCTCTGTCAGGTAAATTATTAAGCATTTATAAAGGCAATAAACAGGACAGTCACACCTGCAAAGCTGTGTTAGGGTGGATTCAGGTTTAAGATGGCCAACTCTGATAATGTAAGGGTTTATATCCAGGCAGTTACACCAGCAGCTAGAGAGACACTGTGATATCTCCACAGCAGCAAAGGCTTGGCTCAGTGAATAGCAAGTAATATGATGCTCAAGTGATGGTTGCTGAACTCAAGCTGCGAAAAGTCCTTCACACCTTCTGGCAAAGAAGCCAATCTCATATAGCTTTGGGACCACGATGTCTCCCTGCTGTGGCAAAAGGAGGAGACAACAAAAAAATGTCCTTTGAATGCTTTCTCCATTAAAGGGAGAACATAAGCTCATAGGGCAAATTAACAGACAATTTTAAAAACATTGTTTCCTGTTATTCAGGGCTCAATACTACTTGAAATCCCAGCTGAGAGGTCTGTGTGTATTGCACCTCCCAAATGAAGGGCTGAGAAGAAACTCTTCAAGTCCAGGTTTAATTTAATATTGATATTCAGAACAGTATCATCCTGACTTTAAGATGACTCCTTCAGAATGGCAGGCAGCCTGCTGGTATATGGGAGGAGAGGGAGGGCAAAAGAGGAGGAATGAGGCAAAAGAGGTTCTGCTATGAAAGCAGAATTGTTGTGTGAACTATAAACTCTTTTCTGGTAGCTAAGGCATTTGTTTTCTCTTCCTGGTGCAGTTTATTGTAATTCTGAACCACCTGCAGACTGCTATTATCAACATGTTGGCCACACAAAAAATCATTCCCTGTGCTCCACCACTCTCCTCTACAGCAAGAGGATCATGTAAGTTTTTGGGGAAGAATGCTCTTCATTTACTAATAAAGGTGCCAGCTAAGTGTTGCTGACTGCAATATCTTGTGTTTTCCCAAAATACTAATTTCCTGGGATCATATAGTTTTTGGAGCATCTCTGTTTTTACTTAAAAAGCAAGAACAAACATTTTATAGCTGTCATAGTCTTAGGGAAAAACTTGATACTGAGAAGAACTGGAATCAGAAATGAGAGGAAAAAATCAACATGCACAATTTCTGTGAAATCTCTTGTGTTTGGATGCTTCTTGATGGATAACGCTGGAATTCTGTAACTGATGTTATTGCTGTGTCAGAGACACTCTGTTATGGGAACAGGATGGTAAAGTTTGTAAGACAAGTATTCATTTTGTGTCTGATAGTCATTTTCCCATTTTTGGGGCTTTTCTTTGCCTCCTTTTTTTTTTTTTTTTTTTTTTGTGTTTAGATATAGCCCAGCAGCTCCTCATCATGGAAATGTTTCTGATAACTGTAATCTCAAGAATGGTCTATCGGAGAAAATACCATGACCTAGACCCTCCGGAGTGTCCGGCTGAAGAAGCAGGGGACAAGAAGCAGAGTCCTAAGATTACCCTGAATGGTGCAGTGGTTGAAGGTGGATTGCCAAAGGTTTAGAAGCCCTCTGTGCTCCTGTTCTGCAGGACCTAGAAGCTCAGCTCCAGGAACTTGTATATTCTTGCACCACGAATAGCTACTGTCCATGTTGGAACAACTTCTGATGTAAATGCCTGTGAGCTGTAGTACTGGAAGGACCAATAAGAAGATAACTCCGTTTATTCTCCAGAGATGTTTATATGATGTGGTGTTTTCATATCATGTAATTCTGCAAGATTTTATACTATGTACTTTTATGCTGTTACTGAGCACTTGATGGTAGCCAAACTGTCTCACTATGTGATTTTATTTTAGTTTTGTTTTTTAGCTATTAGAATGGCTATGAGTTAGTGTAGAGTCATTCTTGTTCATCCTTTTTTGACTAAAAAAATCTTGTTTCTCCCTGGATTGCTGTCATATGTCCAACACAGCATTTTCCCATCCTTCCTCCACTGCAATGGATCATCTCTCACTCTATGTTACAAGCTCATCATAACTAATTCTGCTGTTTGTTCTGAAATTCCCAAACCTGTGTGGGCTCTTCACCTACAAAAATTATAGTCTCTTTAGGCCAAGATCTTTTACATTCCTTGGCAATTCACCTCCTAAATTGGTAAATACAGAGTTACTGTTTGTAAATATGCCATTGGCAGATGTTCTTCCTAGGGATCACAGGTTCTCTGTCACTGACCTGGAAAAGGAAAGTAAGAGTCTGTGATGTTATGTGGTGCTTTGGTTCTCTGCTTGGAAAATGAGAATAATGACACTCAGGATCCTTGTACTAACAGTGTCTGTTGAGGAGAACGACTGAAAGGAATATTGGGGGTGCTGGTCAACAGTGGCTGAACATGAGACAGCAGCATGTCTAGGTGACCAAAAAGGCACTGACATCCTGGCCTGTGTCAGAGGCAGTGGGGCCAGCAGGACCAAAGCAGTGACTGTGCCCTTGTACTCAGCACTGGTGAGGCCACACCTCGAGTCCTGTGTTCAGTTCCGGGCCCCCCACTCCAAGAAAGACATTGAGGTGCTGGAGTGTGTCCAGAGAAGGGCAATGGAGCTGCCGAAGGGTCCAGAGCACAAATCTTATGAGTCTATAGAAAATAGGGCTGAATTAAACAGAGTGTTTTCTTCTTTCTGATTGAGGGCAGAAATAATGTTTTCTTTAACAATTGAAGGATTCCATTATAGCAGAAAACTTGAATTATTTTCTGTTTTGAAGTGGTTGATGCAATTTTTATATTTCATCTTTTTTTTCTAAGCAGGCAGTCTGGGAAATTAATACAGATTCTTGAATTGCTTTAATTTGAGAGAATCTGCGTTTTTCTCTTGAAAAATAATGTATGTGAAAATTTTCACTCTGCATTAGAGTGTGTGCATTAGAATTAACTGGGATCAGCTAACATATTCTTAACATGAGAAATCTTCTTAATGTATTTTAACATTATGTTGCTTTATATTGGTGTGATCTAGGCCACAGGCACATCCATTGCAGAGCAATACTGAATTTCATGATGGCATTGGGGATGGTTGGCTGTGCGTTCAATCAGAGTTAAAATTGGAAAATAAAATATTTTGAATTGGTAAGGCATCTTGGTGTTTTCTGTAGTGGTTCTGCAAGGGACATGCCTTGGTGGGTGGGGTCTGTGGCATGGAAAAAGCAGATGGAATGGAAAGTGCATTCAAAAACAGATGGAGTGTATGGAGAAGTGGTGGTCTGTGTAGGTCCAGAGAAGGCAGCTGCTGGAGCACAGCAAGAGCCTTCACTCATCACCGTTGGTCTGGTGTTTCTGGAGTGCCCGTTAAAGATGTCTCGTAAACGTCAGTGTGGGCCTGATTTAGCCACAGGTATCACTAGCTGTTCTGTTTTTGGATAGATGTTTAATACTAGTTGTGACCTTCATCTAACATATTTCAGCAATAAAAAGTACTGTGGTGATTGTCAAGCAGACATCAGATTTGGCAGCAAATCTCTTTGCTATGTACAGTCACAGAGATCTCATTAAACATCACTTACTTACACAGAAACCTTTCCAGAGCAAAATTAGACACATGTATTCTTAACTACATGCCTAAGAGCTTTCCTGAGTTACAGCTTATGTAAATGCAGCAGAAAGTGTGGGTCTTATTGTTACAATTTTTTTTTTTAAATTAAGAATTTCTTGCCCTCCTCTGGCTCAGACCAATAGCTGTAGCCTGCCTAACTGAGGTGCAGCAGCACTCAGGCACTCTTGAAATGAAAACACTGCAAATCACCACCTCCAAGCTGGACCTTAGTCAGTCTGAGTATGGAAAAACTAAACAGAAAGCCGGAAATTCCTCCAGTCCCAGTTCTGATAACGATCCCTTTCAGGTCAGTGAAAAAAATTCACTTTCAATTACCTGTTTGTAATTGAAGTGTTTGAAAACGGTTAACAAAAGCAAGAAGATAAATTTCACAACTGATTTTACACAGCTGGTGTAAAGTAATGAGTGTTAAGGTGAGTGCATAACCTTTATGCCGTATTTGCTTGGGACTATCGTGAGGAAGGGTAAAGGTAATTTTATCAGTGTCTTTTGTGATTAACAACAGTAAACAGAAAGATAAGCATACACAGAGGTGTGTGATTGAGGGCCGAGAGACTTCAGGCATTTGGAATCAATTCATGAGAACACAGGAAAAGATGAGTTGCATGTTTTGGGTGCTCATGTGCTAAAGATGCAGGCAGGAGGGTGAACACTGACCATGAAGTCTCCAGCAGTGTAGTGTAGGGGATGTAACATGAACGACCCACACAGGAGGTGGGAGAATGAACTCCCTTCACCTTGAATGAACTCTCTAGCACCTTGTAATGTTGCAGGAATGGGTTAGCAAACAGAAGCTGCTCAGTGCTCTTTTCCATCTGTCCTTTGAGCTATTGTTTTTAAAGCAGCACTAACAGAATCCCTCCTCTTAAAGAAGACCATGGTGTGAGCTCCTGTTGGCTGCAGTATGGGAGGTGCTGGAACCTTGAAGAGATGTCTCCCCCCAGACCTACTTCCAGTGGCAAGCTCGTCAGGCCTTTGTGTTTCACGTGTCTCAGCAGCAAAGGCCTAATGACTTCACACCCAAAGAAGCCCAACAGAGAAATAAAATTAGTTGCTTTCAGCTTTCATGACCTCATTCTAGTAAGAGCTCCAGATCAGAGCACCTCTTTGCTGGTTGTGGAATTGGTGTGAAGAACAAACCTTGGTTTTGTTGACTTGCAAGAGAAAGCAGGCAGAATATCTTGGGCTAATTTTCTCTGCTAAGTCACAGCTTAGCATAACTCCCCACAGATCACTGTGCAGCCACAAAATCTTCATTGCTTACTTTTCAAAATCCCAGTTCCTATTAAAATGTCTCTACATTGTGCTGGCTGACAACATGAAGACAATCAAGGCAGCACATTGAAAGCATTCACAATCTATTTTTGCAGAATATTCTTTTTTTTTTTTCCATTTCTCCATTCATTACCATTTCTTAACATTCAAAACAGGTTTGTTACACCTATACTGATGCCACTTACTGCCAAATAATCCAGCAGCTGGTGTGCTTCTAAGGCAGCTTGAAGTCTCAGAATATTCTTTATTGCTCTTCAAACAAGGAAAATAAAAATCTACTTCAGAAAGTGCATTGAAAAATGGGAAGAAGGTTTTATTGAGTAACTTCTACGTTTTTTGTGAGAGAACTCAGACAAATTTTGGCAATATTTTGGACATCCATGATGCAGGAAGGGTCACAGCATATGTAGAGAACTAACAGTAGGATAAAATTACTTTTGCTTCCCTTAATGCAATTTAGCAGCTGAAAAGTGTCAGTTTCCCCTCTAAGAGATTCAGGTATCAGCTCACAGATGCCATCTGGGAACTAAGGAGCAGTTTTGATACAAACTGAAATTGGTTCAGACATCTGGGAGAACTTCTAAGCTGTGAAGAAGCACTGCAAGACATTCTGCAGAGCAGAGCCATAAGGAGAAAGTTAAGATTGTTGGCAAAGGGCAGAGTGTTGACAAATGGATAATTAGCAGCTCAAGGGTTCTCAACAAGAAAAAACAACACAAAAAGCACATCAAATCCTACGGAAAGAAAACCAAGTAGGTAAAGAATGGCAGCTGAGCAATGTCAACAATCAGCCCTTTCCAAGTTGGCCACAGAAGCCAACCCTTCCCCTCTTGACTGAAGGTAGCCCAGCCAGCCGTGGCTCCTCAGGTGCCTTATCGGGGTGGTGAGCACATTAGCCTGTTAGCTCTACCTACATGTTGCATATATTGACCAATAAATCAAAGGTTTAACTCCTTTAAGCTGTGAAATCCATTTTGCAGAGGCTTGGTCTGCAGCAATAGGCACCCAAATGAAGTGACACAGAGGAGGAAGGTGACAAAACAAGGGTGAACTATTCAGTATAGGCAGCCCCTTCTCCTCTATCACCCTGTGAAAATCACTGCCTTCAGAATCAAAGGAGGAACTAGAAATAGCATAGAAACAACTTCTAAATTTATATCAATTCTTTATTGCAAATTGCTGAAAAAGGTGAGTTTTGATTTTCTGTCTCTCCTTGTAGCCTTCCCACACCCAGCCAGCAAAGGGTGTGAGCTAATTGTTAAATTCAGTTCAACAAGTTCCTCATTAGGGGGAAATTACCTGAGTTTGAAATCTGCTAATTTTCCAATCAGGGTGAGTGTTTGCACTTGTGATTTGGAAATAATTAACACATGGTATAACATAAAAACCTATGTAAAGGCTAATGGTAGAAAGACATTTCACTGGCATGGAAATGGTGAGCTTAGTTTCCCCAGAGCTCTGTTACTATCCTTTCAGTATTAGTATCTGCTGTGTAGAGTGTTCTAGTATTTCTTTAGATTGACTCTCTGCAGAGATGTACTTTTATGTTAATTTTGAAAAATTGAACCGTTATCTTCCAGGGCTATGAGTAATTTTTTTATTTTGAAAAGTGCTGTATTTCTTTCTTCACCTTCCTGCCAAAGTAGGTTTTCCCTAAACTACTTGTTTCTATTATTCCTGAA